TGTTGGTTCTGTCAGAACAGGTGTGGTTCTGTCAGTACAGTTGTTGGGTGGTTCTGTCAGAACAGGTGTTGGTTCCATCAGAACAGGTGTGGTTCTGTCAGAACAGGTGTTGGTTCCATCAGAACAGGTGTGGTTCTGTCAGAACAGATGTTGGTTCTGTCAGAACAGGTGTTGGTTCTGTCAGAACAGGTGTGGTTCTGTCAGAACAGGTGTTGGTTCTGTCAGAACAGATGTTGTTTCTTTCAGAACAGATGTTGTTTCTGTCAGAACAGGTGTTGGTTCTGTCAGAACAGGTGTTGGTTCTGTCAGTACAGGTGTGGTTCTGTCAGTACAGGTGTATGTTCTGTCAGAACAGGTGTTGGTTCTGTCAGAACAGGTGTTGGTTCTGTCAGATCAGGTGTGGTTCTGTCAGAACAGGTGTTGGTTCAGTCAGAACAGATGTTGGTTCTGTCAGTACAGGTGTGGTTCTGTCAGTACAGGTGTGGTTCTGTCAGTACAGGTGTGGTTCTGTCAGTATAGGTGTATGTTCTGTCAGAACAGGTGTTGGTTCAGTCAGAACAGATGTGGTTCTGTCAGAACAGGTGTGGTTTTGTCAGAACAGGTGTATGTTGTCAGAACAGGTGTATGTTCTGTCAGAACAGGTGTTGTTTCCATCAGAACAGGTGTGGTTCTGTCAGAACAGGTGTTGTTTCTGTCAGAACAGGTGTTGTTTCTGTCAGAACAGGTGTTGGTTCTGTCAGAACAGGTGTGGTTCTGTCAGAACAGGTGTTGTTTCTGTCAGAACAGGTGTTGTTTCTGTCAGAACAGGTGTTGGTTCTGTCAGAACAGGTGTTGTTCCATCAGAACAGGTGTTGGTTCTGTCAGAACAGGTGTNCAGATTTTATTAATCAGATTGAAAGAAACACGAAGTTTGACTAAAATCTAGATTATCTAGATTATTTACACGAATCAGCAAATATTCTTGCTTTTATAAACATGGATTCAGTTTGTTTGACACAACAGACACAGAGTCAAAATAAAAACAAAACAAGGTTGTGTTGACTCACACTGAGCAGCACTTGGTGACAGTGGAGAGGAAAAACTCCCTTTAACAGGACGAAACCTCCAGCAGAACCAGAACCAGAACCAGGCTTGGACTGGTTCAGTGTTCAATTCATCTAGTGTTGGACTCATCTTAGACTAGTGTTGGACTCATCTTAGACTAGTGTTTGACTCATCTTAGACTAGTGTTTGACTCATCTTAGACTAGT